TCATCAAAACTAACCATAACAATCTATTCAAAATTTTATATGACTATTCTATAAGACATTCTTATACACAAATATAATGGAATGTTAGCTTTGTTTTTCTAGAAAGTTTTAAAATGTTAATTATATATAATTTAACTGATTATTTTTTCATTGTAAAATTAATAAATAAATATATATATTTTATATTCAAATCAACTTACTTAATATGCATTTATAATAAATCCTATTTGTTTAAGATATATAAATATATATATAACAATAAAAATGATTTCAGGAAATTAAGTGATTGCATAATCTTTTGCTTAAAATCATTTGAAATATGTTTTTGGTATAGGAGTTCCTGTAATAGAATTAGGTTATGCTTTTTAAGCATAAGGGATGGAATATTATGGATTTAGAAATGAATAAGGAACATCTTATGCATGTGAAGCTATAGTTTATTTAACGCGAATTTGGAGCCAAAGTAATTTAATGTATATAGATTATAGATAAGCAATTTAAGATAAGCACCAATTTTGATAGAGAAAGCAATTAGATAAAGTTGTGCTGGTAGACCTGGAGTTGCATATATTGTAGTGTCAGGTGAGTTATTAAAAAGTAATATACCTGAGAATGAATTAATTAAGGTTCCAACATTTAATTTAGAATAAATTCCAAGAAACATGGCTGATCCTTAAAATATACTTTAAGCTGTTTAATAATTGAAGAATGCAAAGAGACAACTTGTAATTGTAGGGAAAGGAGCTGGAATAAGTTTAGCAGAAAATTAAGTAATTAAATTTATTGAATCAACAAAATTGCAAAGGAGTAGTTCCTGATTCTAATAATTTAAATGTATCTGCAGCTAGATTAACAGCTCTTGGAGAAGCTGATGTTATTTTATTAATAGGTGCAAGATTGAATTGGATATTACATTTTGGTTTACCTCCAAGATTTAATGATAATTGTTAAATTATATTGATAGTTAAATTTTGAGATGAGTCAAAATTAGTAGCATTTAAATAAACAAAACTTTCAAAATGAGGGAATGCATATATTGATATTTAAAGTTATATTAGAAACAGTTTGCATATGTTCATTGGTCAGTATTAAATTTTCAATCATAAAAAATAATAAGGGTGTATACTTCTGAAGATATTGTACTGAATAATGTAAAGTTCGTCAATCTCGAAATTTTCTATTGGTTTTAGTTTTCCTGTAAAATTAAAATCGAATTGCTAATACATTCATAAAGTTTATTTATTCTGGATCCTACTTGTTATAACAACATTGAAATTACTGCCAAATTACCTTAATATTTATTATTGTATCCACTAACTGTTTGAATTGCTTTTGATTACTAAATTGTTAAAATATAAGCAATTAATCTCCAATTTCAACTCTATCTTGATAAACTAAAATAATAAAAGCACATGCTTTATTCAAACTTTTAAATAAAAGTGTTATTTTAGAATAGTTGGAATAGATGATAGGTTTTCCAATTGAAGAAAAAACTAAATAAATTGAATTAGAAAGTGTAGATTAAATAAAGAGTTACTTTTATGTATTAATATTTACATTGTAAGATTTGAAAAATTGAAAAAATTCAAATGAAATGGAAAATATGATATATTTATTAGCTTGGATTCTGATCCATCATTCAAATGCCGACATATTTTAAAGATTTCTATTGATATTCAATATTGTAAATGAGAAGTTTATTCATAAAATTTTCTGTCTATTCAATTAAATTCATTGTCAAGGTATCAACCTTCCAAGTAACATATGTTAATTATCAAACAATTAAATGTAGACTAATTTTCCATATATAATTCAGATAATATGTATAAAATAAATTAGGAATGGCTGTTTCTGTAAGGGTTTTTGTACTATATAAACACGATTTTCCAGATAGATTTTTATCATTTTTTTAATCATCAAACAATTCTCAGAAATCTAAAAAAGTATTTTAATATTCTACAAAAATAATGGAACAATTTGTATATTGATTATTAAGAATGAGATAGAAAGATTGATAATGATAAATAATAGTATTATAAGAGCGAATTTTAGAATAAAAAGGGTTCAAAAGGAAGAGATGACATCTAAAATGGTGTTGAATAATTAATCTAATATAATTTATTGCTTTCAGATTAAATGGATGTGGAATTTGAAGAGGTAGAGGATAATTAATAGATAAATTATAGAGGATGTTAGAGAATAGTAAGTTAAGTTTTTTATAGAAATCTAAAATATTATGTATTGTATCATAGAATATACAGGATGGTAAAAAAGATGATGAGAATAGAAGAGGGGGAGTATTGGAGATGGCATTTTCATTATTTTCTAGATAGAGTAGAATTTGAGTTTTTCCAAGGGGTAATCTGAATTAAATAAAAAGAATTATTTAGTATTTTGGAGTGATAATGTGAGCATCATTATTGGCACCATCTGGATATTTATATCCTATAAAATTACCCAGAGGAAACAAGTTATAATAAGCTATTTAAATTAGATTTCATGAATCAAAAGGTGTTTTATTATTAAATGATAATTTGAGTGTTATCGCAATAGGATTAAGAACGAGTATGGTTAAATTTAATCCTAATTTAATGAATGATGTTAAATACTCCAAATTATCCTATTTGATTATAATAAATTTAGAGGTGGATATATTAATAGATAAATAATAATATTATTATCAGTAATATTAGGTATAGATGATGATGTATTCAAGTAATTTTAAAAAGGTAATAAATATTTGGAAAAGATTTAGAACATGTCTGCAAAAGTTTCAGCAATATATAAACCCTTTTTAGTAGAATGCATGGAGAATTATAGGTGTTACCATCTATAATAGATAATATAAGATTGATTATTAATTAAAATTTAGATTAAAATAATAATATCTATATTAATAAGTATTAGATAGATTTAAAAGAAGAGGTTTTATTTAATTAAGAACGAAATGCAATATTTAAATAGATAGTAACTAGAGTTTTAGGTATAATTGATCATAATGATTTACTAATTGAAGGAGGTAAAATTATAACGTATTTCATAATAATAGAGGTAATATGTATATTAGAGATATTAGAAAAAGTTAGAGCCTTATCATGAGATGAAATACTTTTTAGATGCGATATTAAGAATCCCAATTGTATAGAATTTCAATTTAAATTGAATTCTATTGCTACTGAGTATGCTCTAGGTGATTTTGATGAAGATATCTATTTTGCTTCATTAGAATCCTTAAATTATTCCAAAACAAATTATATCCTCCCATGATTTATGATAAAGAAAAAAAACACTCACTAATCAAGTTTAACATTAAGAATATCTTCTGAATATTTCTTTTAAGAAGATAAAATGACTGATTTCCTTTTTAAATATCTTAATTTT